AAACAATTTTCACATAAAATCCGTAATTACGCAATAATGGCGTGAACTAATCAATGAAAAAGTCTTATTTAAATTTACAAATATTTCTTATTCTATTATAGCTGCTTATTTCATTAATAATATTAGAAATAAGTCAAATATGTCAACACCGTCGTTCTGCTTTTTAACGTGATGCTTATTAACGCTGCCGCTACTCGTACGTAAATAAAGGAACACGTTATCCTCTAATATCGTAAACGGTTTTGTCTTTACTAATGCGCATGCTCAGAATAACGGATAACGTAAAACGGGTTGCAATTAAGGGGCCTAAAACTTCCTATTACCTGCTATTTATGTTCAGTTGGTACCTAATGGTTGTTTTTGTCTTCGATTTTTTGTTATCGATGAGGTTTAGGAAATACTCTCTTACAGCGCTGGTATTAGTCTGGCGCTCTGTGTTGTGTGGGGCTCCAGCATAGCTTATATTGTATATTTTCTGTACAGGCTATATCTTGGAGTGAAATGATGCAAAATCTTGATTTTCTCGAACACAACACAACACTGTGAGCGGCTGGTATCTGGCTACCTTATCTTCAGTTGCTATATAACAGAAAAAAATGTATTCTGAATCTTAAACAGTAAAAAGTTATCGCCCCCAAACACGTTAAAATGATAATGATTCTAAAATGGCATCAAATCACTGATATCCATAGATCACAGAGCACAGAACATCAGTCACAGAGTTTCGAACACTACACTTAGTCACAATCGTATATTTCCGTACCCTTAAAACTTGCTTCTCGTAAGCAATTTCAATTTATAATTAAGCAAGTCTTTTTTCATGCTTTTATTAGGCCATACCTACTATTTTCAATTCCTGCGCTCTTACGTTGAGAAATTACGGCCATACTCAGCTAAACAAACAGCAATTAATATCTACATATTTAATAACAAAATAGAAACCACACTGATTTTTGTATGAAATATAATATAGAACAGAGAAGAGAAAACCAAACTAGTTTCCAATTTAAGCACATAATTTCAATTTAACTCGGACACTAGACGCTCATCAAAACTGGGTAATGTTCTATGGCCGCTGCCACATATTACAGAAGTTGCTGTGGTAGCTACTCAACTGGAAATAGAAATTGCATAGGTGATATACCTATAATCTGATAACAGAGACAAGGGATAGTCAATTCTTTGAGTTGAGGCAAGTTGGCAACATAGCTTGCCTTTGTCTGGGAATGATGTGGTATGCTCAAGCTCTTGTTAATGTGTCGTAAAACAGACTTACATAAAACACTCGGAGATAATGTTCACAGATACATTCTTCAACAAGAATTAACCTTTCTCAATAACTGCAGAAACGAGTCAATTACAGAATTTATTGAAAAAATTAAAATATTAAAAACACGATTAACTTATATAAACCGTAAAATATAACAGAATTAATTTAATAATTATTAAATTAAAGATAATAATAATCAATACGAGGCAATAAAAAAATTACAAACTCTTTGACATTTTAATAAGTTTAATTATTTTGTAATTCAGAATTGTTGACCCGTACTTTTTCATTACCCATTAAGATCCAGAAGATCTTGATCCAGAGAAATTAAATATATTTAGTGGGCTTACAGAATTTTACTTATAGCACACAAACTCAATTATTAATAATGCAGATGATTAGTGGCAAGGATTAATTTATATTATTATATTACTGTTTCCACAGCAGCTGTATGTAAGGACTCTGGCAACGAATATTGGAAAAATAATTACTAAAGTGTGCATTGTAAACTGTTCATCGAAATTTACTACTTCAGGTTTTACTGTTTTAGTTATCCGATTGAGGCGTTCAACCCTTCATTTTGTAGGTATTTTTATTCTCTACAAATAATCTCGTTGGGCATTCCGATTACTCCATTGGTTTCAAACTTATAAAGAAAAAAAAAACGAAAATCGCGTTTTTTCGCCGACTTACTCCTTTGCTTGCCCTGTTTGTTCAATGAATTTCATAAGGATATGTAATATCGTACACAGGACCTCATTTTATCCTTGTTTAAGTAACTTTCCAA